TGGGCCGAATTGGTTTTTTTAGGTTAAAAATTTTATAAAAAGATTTACGTTCTATAGATTTGCTATTTGATTGGGCATAATTAAAAATCAATATATATAACTTTGCCAAATAAGATTTAGCGAATGGAATCAATTGAATAGTAATTTTGTAATAATTTGCTATCATTTATAAAATGGAATTAGGGATAGCTTTCTTACTGCTTTGCTTTTCAAATTATAATCATAATTTTATTTGACAACAATTTTTTTGAGGCTTTCAAAAAAATTTGTACAAACAAGATGCTTTCTGTAACAACTTAAAAAAAAAAAAAACTTAGTCTCTACAGTAAATTTAGAAACCTATAAGAAAGTCATCCCAAATGAAACCTAAGACTTTAAAGCTTCACATAAAGGAAAGACTAAAAATGAGTGTGACGATTTATGATTTTTATTTTTATCATTAATTTTAAAACTATTTTATCAATTTTAATTCCTAGCTTGTTTTTTTTAAATAATATTTCTAAAGCAACTTTAAAAAAATTGAGAAAATATTGTCTAACTTTTCTTTTTAACTCAAATATATGCCAAAGTTTTGTTTGCTATTGCATCCGCAAAATTACTTAAAAAGAAAAATAAAACAACTCAAATAAAAATCAAAATAGTAATAATTTTATTATTATTATAATAATAACGAATGTCTCATTTGATTTAAAAAAAAATCAAATTCACAATAATCAAATTAAAATTTTTTACTAAAAAGTTGTTTTAAGAAGCAGTAAATAAGCCGTCCCAAATAAAGCCTTAGTGGGTACGTAACATATAAGATTTTTTTTTTTTTTTTACAAATAAATTTATTAAGAACACGAAGGATAAAATAATCAAAGTACTTATTCCACAACAACAACAACAACAACAACAAGCTCTTATCCCATTGCATGGGTCAGTTACATGAATATTTTTTCTCCATTGTATCCTATTGAGGGACAGATTCTCATTTACATTTAATTATAAAAAAACGTAATTTATTATTTTTTCAAGCCAACTATTTTTAAGTATATATCTAATTTTTTTTTAATATAAGTTAAATTTAATACATTATTATTAATGTTATATGCCACTGTAGCCACTCCAACCTTATTTTACTAATACAAACAAAATTTTAGGATGGGTACTCTTCCTAAATCAACCTATTTATTATTAAAATAGCTGTATTCGAAATATTCTATTCAAACCAAACAGCCCCTCAATCATTCAAAATGTTTGCAGGCATTGACCCTTTAACAGTATTCTTTAGCATTATAGCCAAATAGACTATGAAAACATTGATACAAAAAGATATTAAAGAATTTTCAAACCATTTTTGCAAACAAATATAAACGGACAAAAAAAAGACTGAAATATTTTATGAAGAAAGTCTCAAATAGTTGTTTATAAACTTTCCTATGACCAAGTTTGTATGAAAAGAGAGTTATTTTCAGATGAAAATAACAACGAAAACATCAAAATTTTTATTCTAATATGTGAGATCGGCTATATGAATAATTTTTCTCAATTAATAAAATAAAATAAAATAAAATATTTTTACCAAAAATTAGTTATTCATCATAGCATAAATAGCTTCAGCATTTCTGCAAAGATGTGAGAAATTCCTTCAAAGCATTTTGTGTCGAATATATAGAAAGCTAAAATCATTATTAAAAATTGATTTATAATTATAATTTATTTAAGAAATATGATTAAATGCAACAATGGCATCTTTTAATTAATGACATAATTTACTTGTTAGATTTCCTGGAAAGCTCAATAAATTTTTAGTCATATTAATAATAATTAAGGTTTCTTTCGGAACAGTTCTTACTGTTTTATGAAGCAACTAACTAAAAAAAATTTGTACTAAGAAATTAACTATTTCATAAAACAATAAGAAAGTTGTCACAAACAAAATATAAAATTCATCAAAAAAAGCTAGATTAAACATGTGATCGATGATGTTGGTTTCTTCACAAACTTTTAACGGAATTGAGGAGGTGGAAGCTTGGTTGGCCAGATCTAACAAGTGATCTAAACAATGTATTGACAACTATTTCCTACAGGTTGTATTGGCTATATGTTGCGTATAATTATAGGCTATAGGATGTAATAGGATTAAGAAATAAAAATTTGAATTCAGCTCTCTCCTCTCTTTCCCTCTCCCCCTCCTCCCACAATAAGCTCAACAAGGAAGTGCTTCTTCCTTTCATTCAAAATCCTAACATTTAGCTTCATAGCCTACCAGTTGGAGGAAACCGAGCTAGGTGGAGGAGGAGGAGGCTAGGTTTTCTTGTCAAAAGAAATCGATTCAGAGCCTCGTTGAAGCGATCAAGTTCAAAGGATGGGTCCGGCATCTGGTCGAATGTGCACGGTAAGGGCGAACGGGAGCTCGTCTCCGCTACTGGTTGTTGGGGGGCAGAGTGATGAAAGGTGGCCGATTCTAGGTCAGCAGCAGCAGCTGTAGGAAGACAGGGACGCTTCTTCGGGGCCTGCACAAGGTGGAGCTTCCAGAAGCAGCGGAGGAAGAAGCACTTCCTTCCTTCGGAAACTGCGGTTGTTGCATAGGGTGGAGCTAAAAAAAATGTTAAGAACTTGAATGAGAGGAAGAAGCACTTCCTTCTTGAGCTACTTGTGAGAGGAGGGAGAGAACTGAATTCAAATTTTTATTTCTTAATCCTATTACAACCTATAGCCTTTAATTATATGTTATAAATAGATACACCAATGACAATACAAGCCATTCAAGAAACTAAGAAAAGTACAATTCTAAATTTTAGACCAATATCAAACAATCTTTACCTTAATTCTAGATTTATACAACAAAAAAAAGATATATGCTGTCCACGCAGAGGAGCCCCGTCAGTCTTCCTCTCTAATAGCGCCCACCAGATGGTTAACACCACTGGGTTTCTCTAGGATTTAGGATTACATCTTAGTTAAAATACTCCTTAGGCATAACTGTTTTAGTTTGTTAGCTATTTCTAGAACCTTCTAAGTTTCTTTAGGTTTCTCTACTTAATTAGTATAATAAAATAGAATGGTTGTAAGAAGAGATATATGAATATTTTTGTTTCTTTAATTGAAATAGTATTTTCATTATTCTTAGGTGTTTGAGATGTTTATATAGCTCTTAGAGATGTCTTCTTCAGGTATTCTCCCTACATCAGAATGGTATCAGTGCCATTGTAACCCTGGACACCGATCAATGTTTGGATGCTTGGGGAAGACCATGGATGAAGGAAGATATACAACCTTGACGATTATCGAGGTTTTGATGTTTTTCTGGGCAGTGGAAGTGTGAGTCACAAGATGATCTCCATCAGCAGACAACCATACCGGCAATTTGATCTATACCGACGGCAACTGAACACTTCCCGCGATTTAGATCTGATCCCGCCATCACCTTTACATCTCGCGACTACAAGCCCAACTCTATTCCGGTCCTGTCCCGTCCAGCACACAACTACGTGATGCCCCGCATGCACGCGTCTGTTTTCTCACATTCGATTCGTTATGTCCGTCCATAACCAAAGCCTTGTGATATGGGGATTCGCCTTCAGCAAATGCGAGACACCCGGACGATCCCACCATCCGCCTTCTCCGCATGCAAGACACCGTTCCCCCACTCCCCTCTTCGTCTCACGCAATCCGAACCCTCCACTCGCTCAGATTCATTTCACCCTGACAACCTCACTTCGACTTCTACTCGGCTCCGCTCGTGCTTCGTCTTTCTTCATACTGGTGGAGAATGATGCAGAGCATTTATTTAAAATACTCCTTAGACATAATTGTTTTAGCTTGTTTTCTATTTCTATAACCTTTTAGGACGTTTCTCTACTTGATTAGTATAAATAGAATGGTTTTAAGAAGAGATATATGAATGATATTTTTGGAATTAAAACATTATTTTCACTTTTTTTAAGTGTCTGAGCAATTTAGCTCTTAGATCTATCTTCGTCAGGTATTCTCCCTACATCAAAGAACTTGAAGGTACCATGTATTGTAGTTGGTGGTGATGTGTTTTGTGATTGGATATGTTGATTATGATGTGATTTATTATTGTTGCGTGGTATGTGGCTGACTTGGAGGTGTTTTATTAGGAAGCCATTTGCCATGAAAGGATGGTGTTCGAGTGGTAATAAGTCAGGGTTCGGTCAAGCGACAACTAGGCTAGCGTGAGGGATAGACTCATAAGTAAGAGATTATGAATTACAGGTCAAGGGGGGCCGGTTCACATGAGGGCTAAGACTTCGTTTGGACGACTTTTTACTGCTTCTTAAATTAGTTTTTTAATATAAAAATTAAAAATTAAAAAAACTACTCTAATATAAGCAGTAAGAAAGCCCCTCTCAAACAAAATCTAAGGCTCATGAGAAGAGAGATCTTGAAGGGAGTTATTTTGATTCAGGGATGAAGGCATCGACTCTCAGAAACCATGTGAGATGTTCCAGAATAATTTAAAATGGGCATCATAATCATCCTAAAAAAATAATACAATAAAAGATGAAAAAGGACAAAACATAACCCAAGAAGCATGCATCACACCACATTAAAATACTGCGATAAAATCAAGAGAAGCTTGAGCTCCAGTCAAGGACAGTAAATGGCTTTTGTAGTCTTATGCAATGCAAAATACGAAAAATTATTAGGTGCGATTTCCGAACTTATCCGTAGGTCAATTTAGATGCACCACTTCATTCAATGCACAATACATTGGATGACATGGTGCGTCCGGGACCTCCGAACTCGTTCAGATGCTGCACAGAATAATCTCTCGCAAAATACAGCCTCTGGAATGAACCTTTTATTTTTTTTAATTATTTTAGCTCAGTATGTTCATCAATTTTCTTAATCAGGTCATACTCATGATCATCAAAATAATAAAAAATATATAACACAGCACATATTTTCTTTTACCAAAATTATGATATTCTAAACAGAAGTAAATAAGGGGAAATGGAACCAAATTAATCCAGAATTCGTTAGCTCACCTTGATGAGTTGCTCCTTTTTGCAGAAGTGTAGTCCATGTCATGAACTGTCATGGTTTGATTAGATCCTCTGCTATCCATCAGCCGTCCAAAGCCAAGGTCACGGGTTAAGTCTTCTTCTCCTGAGCCGTCTGATTGGCCTTACAAATTAAAGTTCTTATATGTTTTGATATAATCACATAATTAACCTCTTAATGTTAATTATACGTGGCTAATTTAGTATTAAGAAATATCTCACCTGAGGAAGCTGCAGCTTTCTCAGTAGTCTTCACTGTTCTATACATCTAGTGGCATAAGAAAGAAAACGATTATATTAAAGAGAGAAAGCAGTAAGAAAATAGCAAAAGATGACAATGAGAGCACGTCTAAATAAAGTCGGATTCGTACAATTGGCTTACAAAAGAATTGAAAAAAAGTCGCAGAAGCTCAATCTCCATTATTCATAGTTTACTACCGTTTTCTTCTCTTTTCTTCCCCATTCGTCATTGTATTTGACTCCTTTGATAATGTTTCAATTATGTTGGCTATCTCCATCATTGCCCAATGATTCCTTTCTCTCTCTCTCTCTCTCCCTCTTTCTCTCTTTCTCTTACTCTCTCTCTCTCTCTTACACGCATTTCATGTCTATAGTTTTAAGATGATCCATCTTTTCATTCATTAGGTCAGCCACGCATTTCACTGCATCCCTTAACATCAGAACAAACTGAGAGATGGTTCTGTCTATCAACTGGAAGAAAAAAAAGTTGGTAACTTGTAGTTTCCTCCATCAAGAAAAACAATAGGAGAAGAAGAAGAAGAAGAGGAGGAGGAGGACGGGAGGTAGAGAAAGGAGGAATAGAAATAGAAGAAAAAGAAGAAGAACAGGAGAAGTTAACGATGCAAACCCTTGGCTCATTTTCCACTCAGAATAGCGGAAAAGTACTCTTCAAACCCAAGCGTCCACAAACTTCAGAATCGAACTAATCTGATTAAAACTACATTAATAAAGAATTAACAATTAATCATACCTGCAGATGGCTCTTGACATGGGCGAGAGTAAGATCTTTCACATCCATGAGCTCAAGAACTGATTTTGGTGTAGCTCCTATGAATAAAAAAAAAACCACATACACAAAATTAGATCTTATAAACATATTTACGATGGCGATGGAGCTATACCAAACATACTCTCATGTCCACCAAGTAACTCTACAGCATGCACAAATCGAGCATGTAGAGTAGTCGTCCACCTCATCCTCGGCGCCCTCATACTCCTCCTCACTGGAAGCCTCCACATAAGTCTAGATCTCAGTGTTGTGTTGTACTGATTTTGGGCGCTATAAGAAGGCATTTTTGGGAGCAAGGGGAAGGAGCTGTTGCTACTGCTGGTATTATTGCTATAGATTGGTATTCCCTTTATCGATTTAGAAGCTTTTCGAAGCTCCTCTAATGGCGGAGAAGAAGAGCTGGAGAGAGAGAGCTCAGTCTGGGGTTGGGGTGAGTCCACGCTGATGCTTAGAGAGAGGTTAGGGGATGGCATGGAATTAGTGGTTTCTGTAAAGAATTCTTCGACTTGCATTGGGGATATGATGGATGTTAGAGATTGGTCGAACGAGTAAAAGTTGAGGAAGAAGAAAGTGTAGTGTTTTCTTTTATTTTTTCTTTTTTTCTTTTCTTGGAGATGGGGAACATAACGCGGGCCTACAGCTTGAATTAGATGAAGTGAAACAATACAGGTGAAATAATATGTGGTGTTGGAAGGTAAAAAAATAAAGAGATACTCATAGTAAAGACAAATTAAGCGAAGTGGTTGACAAAGTTTCTGCTCCGAATTCAATTAATTTTCTGCTCTCTAGTTAACATGAAAATAATACTATATAAAATTATAAATAATCACTGTATGAAAATTAGTCATTATTGGCGACTTTTTCAAGTGGAATTGGGTGAATTTGTCGCAGTAATGAGGTTTTCCGGCGGCTTTTCGTGCGGTTTTTTTTCAGTCGGTATAAACCGCATAGGAAACTAAAACCGACAGTTTATTTCCGACGGTTTTTTTGGCGGTCATAGCTGCCGGAAATGTCACATTTTTTTATCTAAAATGTAAGAAGAAAAAGCTGCCGGAAAGGCATTGGAAAATCTACAAAAAAATATTTGGACATTTTTCGTCGTAAATTGCCGGAAGGTCGTCAGAAAATAGTGAATATTAAGAGTGTCAATAACATATCAACCGCTCAAATTCAATTTTCACCCGAGATTGATCTGATTTAAATCCAATCGATACAATCCTACTCATTTAATAAATGAGTTAAAATGATGGATCTAAACCCAACCTTATAACCCATTTAGATTATAAAAAAAATTTAACTTGTCAATTATAGAGTTTATGTTAATAAATCAAAATTAAAATAAAATTTTAGGAAAAAATAACCAAATGGGTTACCATATGGTGAAAATCGAATTTGTGTGATTAATTGAACTTGCCCCTCCAATTAATTGGGTGGGAATTTTGAACCCGAATCCGATTTTTTTAAGTCGTTCTAATCAGATTGTCATGTTATCATTTGTTGATGCATCAAATTAAGCTTACAATTAAAATTAATATTTATGCCATATTTTTTTATTTTATTAAGGTCACATGAGTTTCCAAGACTATAGTTTATGGAAATTTTTAAAAGTTTCAATATTTTTGTTAGACTATAAGCTTAGAAAGTAGCATTTTTTTTCAAGAAATATATCATTATTCATAGTATGTTGTATTAAGAAAATCTTAATGAGATGACAATATATTATTCATAACATGATTTCATAGGATTGAGTTTAATTCAACAATTATTTTTATTAATACAAGATTTTATATGAAAAATCTGAAGCAATTAAAAAAATTCGAGGGGAAATACAATTAAAATAGCTTTTATCAAAGTTAAAAGAAAATTAAAAGATACCATACTTCCAATCTGGAGGAGGCATCCACAAAAGTAGAAGAAATGAGGTTATTGTTGGGATATTCTGCAGTGGATTTGTAAGGAGAAATTATTCTGTGCAGACGCTGAATGTCGTCCTGAGACCAATCAGAATGAGTCATGTCGGTACCGTGCTCGGTATTGCTGACATGGCTCATTCTAATTGGTCTCCGAATATAAATATATATTCGACGTTAGCACAAAATAATTTCTTCTTTATAAGAGGAGCATTTCGGGCTAATATAAAGAGTCCTTCATTTAAGACTTCGTTTGAATAATTTTTTTATTGTTTTATAAAACATTTTTTATATAAAAATCTCCCTAATCCTTAAGCATTCTAATTCTATCTCCTCCCGTTCCCCAAAATATTCTCTCCAGAAATTGCTGCAGCTCTACGGTAGCTGTGTAAATTGCTACACGCCAAATCACATATAGCTTATTATTTTTATAGTTAGTTGACTCACAGAAATCCGAACACAAGGTTTTATAAAGGCTTATTATGGTTAGCGATACTCAGCTTTTAATGTAATAAATTAAAGCATTTCGATCGAGACAATTAATTGGTGTTAATCACAACACAAATTTACGATTCTCAAAAGAATTATGAGCAGTTGAGTACACCCATATGGTCCTATACATAATTCTTTTTGGTCTATTGGTTGGAAGCTTTGACTATCAACTAAGATATTTTAGATTTGAGTCATACATATGTGATGTGAGTGTGAGCTTGTCTTTTTTAATGATCTAAATATCCTAAAAAACAAAAGAGTACACCCGTATATTTTACTAAATATTGATTGATAATTTTGCTGCTAGACAATCAATATGTGTCAAGCCGACAAATTTTTAAGAGTGCTAGACTTCATCACGTCGGACATTCTAATTTGACTATAATAATTATATATATATTTCTCATTTTTTGTTTGCAATGTATGTAACAAAATGCGTGATGCTCAAGCCACATATGAAACATATAAATAAGGAATTCAGTACACATTTTTTTATTATCAAACATATTTTAAATCCTAGAGTTTCTTACTCTACAATTCTTGTCTCTTTATTTTTATTTTTTCACTCACTATTCTTAGTATAGTTCGGTGTGATTCATGAATAATTTTGGATTCAACATCCTAAAGATGCAGCGTTCATGGAGCTTGCCATTAACTAGAAGAGAAGTACTACATTAAACAAAATAATATCGAAGTGGAGAAGAATATATTAACATGAATAACCAACCAGGAGTCATGACTATTCATCAACTTATTAAATTCTAGGAGAGGATGACTCAAATGATCTTTGGAGCATTATAGAGGATACTAAGAACCACTCCTATAATAGTGAAAATACCTGATCGATCCTCTACCTTTATATTGAGAAGAAAAAGACTTGATGGAGATGGAGATAGGACCTTTGCTTCAGTTGCTGATGAGATATATTATCAAATAGTGATAAGTTGACAATAATTGTGAAAAGGAGCTCTCTATTAGTCAATATCTTCTCATTTCTCTTACTTTGAGTTGGGTGTTTCTCTTCTTGATATGAATAATGCATTAAAGTGTATGTTATTCTTCACTAATTTCAAAGAATTACATTTGAGGTGATTCTCATGCATCGATCCCACTTGGCGTCATAAGCTCTTTCACCAAGTTCAAGTGGTTGTTCATGATGCAATTCACATGCTAGCAAGGGCCTCTAGAAACTCTCAAGCCTTATTATAGATGAGGCAAGAACTGAGTGAGTCATTTAGGGGTTTTTTTTATTTGATTTTGGAAGGGTATACATGCATGCTGTGAAAGATCAGGTATATATCCGCCGGAAAGTCCGACGGTAATGGTTTGTTTTCCTGTAGTGCTATGAGAAGGGCATTCCTGGTATGTGTTCAACCTATGGAAGCTAAGGACTTCAACTGAGTTGGTTGAGCTCGGTAATAGTCATATAATTGTTAATGAGAAAAATATAGAGATTGTTGCCTCTAATGTTGCTGAGAGGAAAGAGAAAAGTCATCCAAGAGAAAAATTATAATAATTTTCCAAGGACCATAGAAGTCATACTAGGAGTCTTAGGGTTGAAAGAAGATTTAATTTAACATGATTAGAGGAAACTCACCCGACAAATGAGAACTCATCCCTTTGATAAAGAATCATGCAATGAGAAATGCTACAATGATCATCATGGCAAGAGGTTGTTGCTGCCTCTAATCCACCACTAATGACTATAACTTTGCTAATTTTTTCAATGACCAAGTTAGTTAATACCATTCAAAATAAGGACTTCTTTAAAAGGTCAGTGTTCATGAGAGTCAATGGTCACCTATGTGACCAGTTAAAGTACTACACTTACCTTGGTGACTATGGCCATGATATTAAAGAGCATAAAAACCTACAAAACTTAGTGCAGGACCTCATCAAGTTAGTTAGTTTTGCATATGAAGGAAGGAGACCAGATCCGTAACAAAGTAGTCCCAACATAAACAATTCACATTATTGGGGTGATTCTGGCTACCATTCATAGAGGATCTAACAAACAAGCTTCTCAGGAGCAAGCCTTAAGAACTTTGGTCTAAATAGGTAAACTCCGTGAGTGCCGCAAGAGTGCCTACTATTACTTATTAATCAACTATTCTATGATTTTAATCTAGATTTGTTTTGAGAAAAATCTATTATAATTTTTTTGTGACTTTAGATCTTCAACTCAAAATCTCAATTTTAATCATTATTATTTCATCACGTGATCTATAATATAGATTTTGCCTTATTTTCATGGCTCATCAACCATTGTCTAATTAGTCCATCTTTTGACATTAATTACATTTAAATTGATTAAGCCGAGTACATTTGATTTAATTTGGGTGTACAACTCAATTATTTCCTATAATTAGTGGTGGAACTAATTAAGGGTGCGATGGGTTGACTGTCAAGAAAATTCTTAGAGTGCAACTAGGTTAGCCCAATGAGGGCATCTGTTATGAAGGCTTCATGGTATGGTGATGAAGATTATTATTTCTTTAATGGCAGAATTCAAACCATATATTTTACAAGTTACCTCTCATCATTAAAAAAAGAAGTATATAACAGCACAAGAGGGATAACTCCCAAGGAAGCTAAATGCTAATTTTTAAAGGCACCAAGTCATCAATGTTATGGTATGCAAAACCATCACAAAACCAGAAGAGATGCCAAGTAAAAAAAATCTTTTAAACACTTTTTAAACTTGTGAAAATCAAATCAAACATAAAATTTGAAGTTAAGGTTCAAGGTTCAATGGTTCAACAAGGCTGAGCCAGATGTTGTAAGAAATATTAAAATTATTTAAATAAGATCTGAATGATATAATAATTATGCAATAATATAAATTTGTGATTAAAATATAAAAAGAAATCATTCATAACTAATATCTTTTGTATTTTGTCTAAATATATATCTCTCTAAGAACCACCTTCTCTCTTCTTTCCTTACACTCAAATTTCATTACATTCTCCCTATAGCTCTCGATCTGCAAGTAAAATAAAGTACAATCCAATACCATCCACCGAACAAAATGGAATTCAACACTCCAGTCAACATATCACAATAATAATAGCTTATTCAACTCAAAAATTTTAACAATAAATTTAAACCCATGAAACTTGGATTATTATTATCATTCTCCTCCAATCATATATGCATTCAAAGGTTCAAAATACCAACCAACCATAGACTTTTCTCTTTTTATTTTGTCAACATCACTTTCCTTTCATTATTGAATGCACTGTTG